TTACCCAAGTTCTAGCAAATAAAAGATCAATCATGCATAGAAATTGCAAGTAAATCCATGCAGTTCCTAATCCCTTACCACCCGCATTTATGAATGAAACAAGTTAGTGTGTAGATTGGCTTGCCTTTTTCCTTTTATACTTGTGGCAAATTAGCGGCTAAACTGAGAATTATGGAGATCCAATCCTGATTTTTCAAGATTCTCTGATTAGCTAATCAAACATTCCTCTATATATTTGGTAAAATAGTGATTATGCCTATAATTTGAATTTTTTTGACCCATAAAATGGTTTTTAGTGCATTAAAAATATTATTAAAAATATGTATTAAAAACATTTGTGATATATCTTGCTTTATTCTTTTATGAAATACTAGGAGTAGAAAAACTTTTATGCATATTAAAATCCCCAATGTTAAAAAAAACTGCAATTATTTTAAATGGACTGAAAACAATATTTTCTGCTGAGTTTGCATATTGGTATCTAGTTAAGTTTTTTTTGTTATTAACCATTCATTAATGTAGCATCTGTGTTCATTTGAAAGTATGTTATATAAAGCTGACAGGTCTGAATGTAGCAGAGATATGTCTCACTTTTCTTGGTGACCTGTTATGAGTTTGCTTTAGAAACACCTCTTGGCACCTCCAAACAAAAGCCAAAGGTCCAATTTGATTAGGTAACATAAATTGTTAAGGATTTTTAATTCTTTTATAGCAACATTATTCTCTTTTCTTCTGATTTTTGAGCTTCTGTGAATATTATAGGAAGAACAATTCTCCTGGAGACAGCCTATGACTTCACATATTTATTTCAATTTATATTGACATTTTAAATCTAGCTAAATGGGTTTTATTCCGAGGAAAGTAAAATGGTATCTTAAGAGCACTCAAGTTATTCAGCTAGAAACTTCTGTGTTATTCTTACTCCTCTATCTCTTCCATCAAGTTGTATCCATTCCTTTCCAGAAAAATCTGAATGTATCTGTTGCTACTACTTTACTTGAGGCTCATAACTTTCCTTGCCTAATATTATTAAAATTATTCTTCTAATTAATTTTCCTTGCTCATTCCTCTCCTTTTTAGTCATTCTCCCATAATGTTTTCTTAAATGTAAATTCTTTGTCAGCTCTCACCTCAAATATCTTCATGGTTTCTCATTGTCTATAGAGAGCATGGGGCACAAATGCTTCTCATGACCTTAATGTATTTTATGTTGTATCCAACAACCTCAAACCTTTCAGCTACATCTTATCATTACTAGTTAATAAATATCACAGCTCTTTAATACATATTTTAGCTATTAGCTCCCTAATCAAGACATAAATAAGTCCTTTTGGTAATAAATGAGAAATCCCATTCTGAATTCAAACATTTTATACTCTTAGGCAGGCAAATGTGTATCTTTTTTTATATATCTCTTTATTGTTAGTGTGTTGCATTAATCTGGGACGAGAACAGCTTCCTTCTGGGATAGCAATGATTTGGCTCCCTTTACACAATAAATATAAGCATGATAGTACATCATTTTAACATTACAGGGAGTTTTTGTATTTGTTAACCTATTTGCTTTGAATAATTCTGTTAGACCATTGTAAACATCACCTTGAGTTTATAGACTAAAGAGCTGAGGCTTTAAGGTGTCAATGGCATGGCCTAATATCTCCCAGCTGGGTGATGGCTGCTCTATAGGATCATGCAGCCTCCCTTACATCCCATTATTTATGTACTTACTGGTGAAGACTACAATTGCTCTGTGTACTAGAAAATTCTTTACCAATTTTAATTAGCACTTCAAATAATTTCATTTCATTTGCTTTCCCCAATGCACTTTTTGTTAGGTAGATAGGTCTGGTTTTTTTTTTTTTTTTTTTCCTTTCCCCTCTTTTTTGGCCATACTGGGGATTGTACTAGCTTTGTACAAGCTTGGTAAGCATTCTGTCACTGAGCTATACCACCACCATGCCCCCTGCTCCCTTTTAAATATATTTTTTAGTTGTAGATGGGTACAATACCTTTGTTTTATTTATTTTCATGTGGTGCTGAGGATCGAGCCCAGTACCCCACCCGTGCTAGGCAAGTGCTGTACCACTGAGCAACAAACCCGGACCCATCAGCACCCCTTTTTAAGCTTTATTTTGGACAAGTTTTACAAAATTATCCAGGCTGGCCTTGAATTTGCAATCCTCCTGCCTCAGCCAGAATCCTGAGTAGCTGGCATTATATGCATGCTACATCCTGGAATGCCTGACATTATTAATGCCATTTTACAAATAAGGATAATGCAGATCAGAATGACTGAGTGACTTGTTCTCATTTGTGTAACAAAAACAAGAACAGGCCTTCAAATTCCTTGCTTACTGCTATTTTTATTGTCCTATGTTGCTTCCTTGCTCTACTGTAAAATATATTGGAAGGTGAAGTTCATTTTTATTCTTGGGATTCCACTGAAATAATTTTCTGGTTATGCTCTGTATTAAAATGTAAAATTAAAGTTAAATGACAGCTATTGGTTTAACTTAGTATGAGTTTTGTATCTTTGTGCTACTCTAATTAATGGAATAAATCAAATCAAATGATACATTAGTTGACAGAAACTTGTTACTCAAGGGAGAAAGAATACAAGAGACAGATATGTTTCAGAACATGAAATTGCAAAGAATAATTTTTTGTTCAATGTGTTGAACCTCTGTAGGTTCTTAGAAGAGATTTTTTTTTAACAAAAGACAGATTAACAAGAGAAAAACAAGTTTATTAACATTTATATTTCATATGTACATGGGAGATATCCAGGGAATGAAGTTTTCAGAGACGTGGCTTTGAATTCCAGCTTTTATAGTATCTTCAACAAAGGGCAGTGCATTTTTAGAGAAATGGCAAGACAAAGGAAAAGGACCTTGAGTCTCAGAGGGTAATAACATGTAAGAAGGCAGATAGGGTAGTTAGTAAAGTTTGTTCATGTAGATTCCTTTGGGACCATTTCTAGATGATAAGGGTCTGAAGTTGTCTTCAATTGTTTTAACTTTTGTTGTCCCTGATAGATGAGGGTCAGGACAACTTTTTTCTATGTAATTCTATGTCTTGTTCTTAGAATGGAAGAGATCTTTCCTAAATCTTTTTTTTTTTCTTAAATTGCTTTCATTTTCATCTGTCCTTCATATTTTGGGGCCGCATATTCTGGTTTCCCTCATTCTGCTCTCAGTAAGTCTCAGGCCCTTCTTAGCTCATGGAAGGAGGACAATGGGAAGTTCCCTAGCAAGTTTCTGCAGCATCCCAACACTACAGTAGTTTGCTTTATAATTCATACCCATTGTTTCATCAGTAAAATTGTGGAAAATGGCTTTTGTCTAGAGCATCATGAGTCTGTAGGTGGTTCAGCAGGAAGAATTTGTACTGAGCAGGTAGAGAGCCTGTCATTCTTTATAATCCTAATGATACTTTGTGGGTAGTGGTGACAGAGATTGTGGGTCTCTCACCTCATGGCTGTGGCACACCTGGTGCCTAGGAAAGTTTCTGTGCATGGGCATAGGATGCCTAGCTGATATGGCAAAGCCCTGCCTGAGGAGGCTCTGTGCAAGAGGCTTATAAGCTTCAACTTGATCTCAGTCACATTGCTCCCAGGGATAGAGGAATTCTCATGCTAGACAACCTCAGTGTTTCACCAGCTCTGCTACTCCTGAGCCTTCCCGCTTAATAGTAACTTTAAACACTGGACCTCCTTAAGCAGTACAGAAAGCTCCTAACATTGCACATTACAACTGTAGAAAAGCTGCATAGATATTTCTAGTTCTGAAACTCTCTTGAGTATAAAGAATAATACTTGCATATTCTTTAACCTGATAATGAGACATATATAAGTAAAAATTGCTGGTGTAACTGTTTAGATCTGCTTCTCCATTAGAGATTAACACTCCATCTGATCCCAACCATGTATCTTCACAATCTACACATATGAGTCTTTTCTATTCCCCCCTCTCTCCTTAGCGATACTGCAAGTTTGGCCGTGCAGGACATGGCAGTACTTCACTCCAGGATTTCTCTTTAGGTATAATGTCTGCACAAACCATTTTTTGATTCTGGTTTTCTGTGTACTCTAGTAGCTTTTTTTTTTTCTTTGTCACATTTGAATGTACCTGATTCTGTGTTCATGGAGTTGGGCATGAATAGTATATTATGTCAAGGAGATGAAAAATTACAAAGGTGGATGGCTTTAGGTAGTGTACATCAAGTTATATTTCCTAATTCATAAACAATACTACCTTTATTTATAAGTTTAGTATAGGGAACAGGATGGTATGGCAGAGTGAGGAAATGGGGAATTAAGAGTCAAAAGGTTTAGTTTCCACTGCACTGCTAACTTAATTTCTGATCCTAACAAGTTTCTAATCCTCAGAGCCTCCATTTCCTCATTTGCCAAATGTGAATAAAAGCATTCTCTCAGAATGACTGTAATTATTTAGAGAATGCAGATGAAGACTTCTTGCACATAAAGAGCTATCAAAATATTATTTACTTAAATAAACAATAACTGTTGGGCCCTTTAACAAAAATGATTTCAATGCAGACCTCTGGTCAGCCCTGAAAGCAGACCTGATGTCTCAATTCCACCGATAGGAACCTGGTATAGAGCATCTTAGTAACTCGCTCAGGGCCTGCTGTTATGTGATGAGTACTGATTTAAGTCCCAGTCTCTGTTTCGATGTGTTACCATGTTAATAATAAGGGATAAGTAGCAGAGATTTGAACTTTAACAATTTGGGTGATTATTCTAAATAATGAAAGTAGTGCTCTAATCGGGAATCAGGGGATCCAGACTGTCACTATATTTTTGTATTATTTTTAGATGTTAATTAAATGTGTTTTATTAAATGTCTTTAAAACACTTGACTATATTTCTGCTATGGAATATATGTAAAATGTCTTAGAATGAAAAATTTCCTTTGAAGTGATCAAAAGTCTTTTAAAAATCCTTTAATATTTTGTTTGTTTGTTTGTTTGTTTTTAAGTCATTCCTACACTGGTCAAGATTACAGTATGCAGGGAAACACTGGGAAGATTTCTTTAGATCAGATTGATTCGGTAAGCACCACCACATCCTTTCAAACTTACAGCTTTGTTAATGGAGGAAACCCAGATTTTTCTCAGTTTAAGATTTTTGGGCAGGAAGATGGGAAAGAATGTTCTTTCATTGATTGCTGAAAACTTTTAAAGAAAATCTCATGTCTGTGCGTATAATTTTTGTTGTTGTTTTAGTCTTTGAAAAATCAAACTTAATGAAAAAGTTGTTTAATAAAAATCTGAATCAGAACTGAAACAATTATTCTAAAAAGGAATTTTAAAAAATGATAGCTAAGTGGCATTTATGTATTAATATTTAAATACCATGTACATTTAGAAAAGGAGAAATGGGAAACATTAGGTGAATAACCAGCCAGAACAAAGGATTTGTATTGTCATAGTAGTAAACTGAGCCCCCCCCTCTCAGCAAAGTGCTTCCATGGCATTTGATTTATGACCTAGTTAGAGTCTTTATTATCTAATTTTTATGAGTTTTATGAGTTTGACTTAGAATATAATTGCGGTGTCTTTTTTCTTAACCGAATTAAAGGGGAAATGATGTTTTATTCATCTTCCTCTTTTCTAAAATACTGCATAAAATATTCTGTTACATATAATCAAAAAGTGATTAGTTATTAGACTTTGAGGGGACCTTGCATGTTTATACTAAGGATGTTGAATATTCATTTTTTATTATTACACTGCTTAAGAAAAAATAATTACTAAATAAATAGTATAAAGGAACAAAAATGGTGATGTAAAAATGTCCTGAAAGGCTTTCCAGTGGTCCTGCCAGGGGAGGCTAAAGGTCTGAATGAACTAAATTGGGGATTAAAAAATAATAATATATATTATATAATATATATATATATATTTTTTCCCCCAAAGAAGAAAAACGGGATGGTCACTAGAGGGAGCAGCAAAGTCAAACAAATTGAGGCCTGCTTTTTCTTACAAAGTGAATTTGCTGAAGATGATGAGAGCAGTTAGAATTCAAGTCTAGGGGGGAAGGATATTTGAGGAAATCAGAATGCAATTTAAACCATAAGTGAAAAACTGAATTAAAAATGGACAGTGGTATTTCGTTTTGACACTGCAGTTTTTTGTAACTATTTATTTCTTTAACACATTAATTTGAATTTTCCCTTTGAGAATGATTTCTCATTTTTGTTATACTTTATATTTTATAAATTCATCTATTCAGTAGTTGGACTTTTGAATATTTATCTCAGGGAAATATCTTATGTTCACACAAAAACTTCTACAAGAATATTCATAACAAGTTTATTTGAAATAAAAAGCCAGAAATGACCCAACTGTTCAATTAGTGAATAGTTAAATAAATTGTGGTACATCCATACCATGAAACACTACTTGGTTTAAAAAAAAAAAAAAAATTAGTCTTAACAGATAATCCCCTTAAGATTCACCTTATGTGGAGTAAAAAAGCCCATTCTCAAACATCATGTCTTGTGTGATTCTATTTATATGATACTCTTAAAATTGTAGATGTGGAGAACAGATTAGTGGTTGTCAAGGATTATGGAAATAGGGAAGGAGGTGGCAAAGCAGGAAAGCAGTGAGGTTGTTATAAAAGGGAAACATGAAAGATTCGGGTGGGGGTGGAACTATTCTATACCTTGGTTGTGGGGGTGGATGCGTGAACACACACATGTGGATAAAATTGCATAAAATTAAATACCCACACAACTGAAGTAATTTTAAGAGTAGTGGATTATATCAGTGTCAGCATTTGGGTTGAAAAAGTGAACTACAGTTTTATAAGATTTTATCATTGACTGAAACTGGGCGCCTGATATCTCTTTGTATTATTATAACTGCATGCAAATCTACAGTTGTCTCTGTAAAGTTTAATTTAAAATTTTAAGAAGAAATAGGTGAAATTAATTTCTTAAAATATAGTAATTTTTATTTAACTCAATATATTCAATATTATCTTTTTATGTTTATCTTTCTGGTACTGGGGATTGAACACGGGGCATTCCACCACGAGCTATATCCTCTTTTTAATTTTTATTTTGAGGCAGAGTCTTGCTCAGTTGCTAAGACTGGTCTCAAACTTGCAATTCTCCTTCAGCCTCCCAAGTTTCTGGGATTACAGGTGTGTGCCATTATGCCTGGTTCAAAATATTATCTGAACATATAATCAGTAAAAAACTAAGAAAAATTTGTCTATAATCACAGTAATATACTAATACTTTCTTATGTTTTTTTATTTTATTCCAATTAGACTGAATTTACAATTGCAGTTAAGTATTTATGGATGACCTGGTATGTCTTCCACATAACCAAAAACTATTTTTTCTTATAGCTTTCTACCAAATCCTTCCCACCTTGTATGCGCCAGTTACATAAGGCCTTACGGGAAAATCACCACCTTCGTCATGGTGGCCGAATGCAATATGGCCTCTTCCTGAAGGGCATTGGTTTAACACTGGAACAGGCATTGCAGTTTTGGAAGCAAGAATTTATCAGAGGAAAGATGGATCCAGATAAGGTAATTTTGAAAAATTTAGAGTGGCAATTGAAATTTTAATTTGGTCTGAAACTAACAGGTCTTTTTTTTTAAAACTTGCTCCTTGAAATGTACTTAAATTCTGAAGTTAAATTTGTATACAATTTAGTTTATGTAAAAAGGAACTCATATATTAATATGTGCCAAACAAAAATCAGGAAAGCTTTCATCTCATTTGTAGGTATGCCACCAGTAGTCGCTACGAGTGAAATTGCTTGAGTTATATTTTTGTAGAAATGTTTATAGATCTCTCATGAGAGAGAGACACACACATTGTCTATTTGAGGATTAGAAAATGTTATAAACAAATGAAGCAAAAGCAATTAATTTTTTTTCTATTATGTCATACAAAACCTTTCATAGACAATTGTTAGATAGCAATCACTGTAAACCTGAGCAACTGGTTTTAAATCCATGTGTAGTACTCAGATTCTCACTCCTACTCCTTCTTTTTAGAAGTATTAGCTAGTAACATTTTGTTAAGAAATGTGGCTTTTTGTCCCTTTTATGCCATGCACTGTGATATAGAGTAAATTTTTAGTTGTTGGTTTCTTCCTTCCTGAAAATCTGTTAGTTATAGAAAAAATATTTATCAAGTAAATTTTATAATAAACATTTTATTGACTTATTAGTTTGCTAGGGTTACCATAACAAAATTCTAAAGACTGGATGGCTTGTACAACAGATATTTATTTCTTCACAATTCTGGAGTCTGGAAATTCAAACTCTAGATATTGGCAAGTTTGGTTTCTCCTGAGGCCTCCTTTTCTCCTTGACTGCAGATGTGCTGTCTTCACATTGTTGTTTATCTGTGTGTGTGCGCGTCTCTGATGGTGATCCTGCTTCTTATAAGGACACTAGACATATTGAATTAGGGCTACCCCCTTAATATCTAATTTAACCTTAATTACTCCCTAAAAATTTTAGAATCTTAGAACACAATTCAACCCATAATACATCTTTATGTACTTTATTTTAAAATGTTATGAAAAGCTTCTACAATTTTCCCAGATTTATTTTAAAAAATTATCTTCATTGGTCATTATCTATAGTATCTCAAACAAGTGATTGGAGTTTTCTTTTAAAAGTTTTGGATACTATTTCTTAGACTTGTTATATTTGTTTTATTTTAAAAGTAATATTCTGATTATAGAAAACAGGTAAATTTTCTGTGTATTTTTCATATTATCTCCCCATTCAGAAAAGATTGTCAACATTTTATCCTTTCTCTTTAGTTTAGGTAGCTAAGTAATGTGCTTTCTCCAGTTTTTGTCAGCTTTTTCACTGTTGTGACCAAAAGACCTGACAAGAACAATTAGAGGAGGAAGTTTATTTTGGGGCTCATGGTTTCAGAAGTCTCAGTCCCTAGACAGCTCTGTTGTACTGGGCCTGAGGTAAGGCAGGACATCATGGCAGAAGTGAGTGGTAGAGGAAGCAACTCGGGAGAAGGCACCAGGAAGCAGAGAGAGAGAGAGCTCCCCTCACCAGGGATGAAATATGTACCCTAAAGACACCTCCAGTGACCTCCTCCAGCCACACTCTACCTGCCTACAGTTAACACCAGTTAATCCATATCAGTGAATTAATGCACTATGTTAAAACTCTTATAACCCATTATTTCACCTCTAAATATTCTTGCATTGTCTCACACATGAGCCTTTGGACACCTCATATGTAAACCACAATACCCCCATTTTAAAAATTGACATTGTTTTATCCTAACTTCATCATGTTGTTGAATAATCTTTGAAAAATGTCATTTTAATTAGCTGTATAATATTTTACCTTTGAGGAGGTAATATAGCTGAGTGGTAGAGCTCTTGCCTAGCTTGTGTGGGATCCTGGGTTGGACTCCCAGTACTGTGCGTGTGTGCATACACACGCACAAAAAAGTGTGTATATATGCACAAACATATATATACACATCTCCTTTGAAAGTGACATATTTAATCATTTAATTATTACCCTATTGTTAGACATTTGGTTGTGTCTAACTTGTCATAAGTGTTTTTGTAGCCAATATCTGGAGGAAATAAAGAATTGATTGTAGTTCTGATTATGTCCTTTGTCTGCATTGACCAGAAATAGATTACTTAATAAGGATCTATAGATTTGAAGTTTTGATGCATCATGATATAACTTAAGAATAAATTTTTTTGTTAACTTTATTTATTTTTTATTGGTAGTTCAAAACATTACAAAGCTCTTGACATATCATCTTTTATACATTTGATTCAAGTGGGTTATGGACAAGAATAAATTTTAAATTAGACCTTTGTCAAGCTATGTGAGTCTTGTTCTATTGCTGCCATTATAATTTAAAATATTTTTGTATTTTTAATTAGAAATTTGATACGTTAACCTGGTAAGTGCATTAGGATTCTTCAGAAAAATGGAACTCTGTGTGTGTGTGTGTGTGTGTGTGTGTGTGTGTGTGTGTATTTATCAGAAGGAGTTGGCTTACATAATCTTGGGACAGGCCTCTTGAGTTGGCATACTGGATACCCAAATGACCCTATGGTATAATTCTAGCCTGAATCCAAAGGCCTTGCAACCAGGAGAGCCAATGATATAGGTCCAACTTACATGCCAGCAGGTTTAGGACTCGGGAAGAGTCCATGCTTATTTCAACTCTAAAAGCAAGGGGGAATGAGCCTCCAGTTCAAGGAAGATAGCCCCAGATTTTCTCTTACAGGAGAGTTAGCCTTTGTGTTTTGTTGGGTTTCCTCTTACAGGAGAGTTAGCCTTTGTGTTTTGTTGGGTGTTTATTCAACTGATTGGATGAGACCCATCCTTATTGGGGAGTGCAATCTACTTTACTGCAACTATCGAGATTCATATGTTGATCTCATTCCAGTCACACCCTGACAAAATAACCTTTGAGCAAATATCTGGTACTTCACATCCTGGTCAGGTTGACAGCAAAAAATTAACCATCACAGCAGGTAAATATTTGTGAGCTGGGGAGAAAGTTAGGCAGTGGTTTTGAAGTGAAAGAAATTGAGTTAGCATTTTAACTTGGTATGTGTTGTAAACTAAGAAGAAAGTAGGGAGCAGGGAATATCAGCCCTGCCTGGCAGTGTGGACGCTTGCTGTGAATACCAGGTCTGTGGCTTGGACATCTGTTTAGTGATCTGCCTTTTATCCGGGATGCCTGTATAATAGTGTTAAAGGACAGGTTTTTTTTTTTTTTTTTTTTTTTTTTTATTACTACAACATAGATTTTAAAAAATGGTAAAGTTTTAGCTTTCTAGATAATATATACTAGTATAGATTTTCCTTAGCTTATTGATAATAGCAAATGTCATTTTGACTAGAATATTATAAATTAAACTTTAATTTGCTGTGACTGGTATTCTTCATATCCATAAGTAAATGGTCATTTTTTTTCCTCAATTATATCTTCTGTTAAATATTTTTGCAAAAAATATAATAAATTGAGAGATACTAAATTATAATATATTCTTCAATTTAATACTTATTAAGTGATACATACAATTAAAAATACTCTTAAGGGGCATAAAATGTTAGCTTATAATCTTTTATCCCTTTGTGCTGTGGATTGAACTTGGGGGTGCTCTACCACCGAGCCACACTCTGAGCCCTTTTTAATTTTAGGGATCTCATTAAGTTGCCCACATGGCCTTGTACTAGTCCTCTTGCCTTAGCCTCCAGAATTACCTGGAATTACAGGTATGCACCACCGGCTTGTTCTTAAAGTGTTATTTATAGAGTAGAATGATATTGTAGATATGTTACATATTTTTTTTTAATAATACCCTAGTTTAAAGGTGAAAAGGAAAGTATTGTTGTGGTAATGTGAAGTAAGAAAGTATGGTGGATCATACTGAAGATCAATCAGTTTGAGGGAAGTAAATGGCATAGGTTAGTAGACAACTAAGAACAAAAATACACAGAAAATAAGGGAAAAGTAGGCAAAATATTGTTCCTTTTTGAATTTTTGATATTTTTCTGTTTATTCACTGTGGCTTTTTTGTTAGCTGGCTTGGGGATCATTGTGGTTTTGTTATTTAAAAATCTCTGCTTTCAGACTTTTCCTTGGATTTCCTTTCTTTGTATATTTGAATGCTGTTTTATTTGAATGCATATTTTACTAGGGGATAAGGGATTTTAGTATTAAAACATCAATAATTTCCAAGAGAACATTGTTATAAAAAAAAATCTTATAACGAACAATTGCTTTATGGTATACCTTGCTCCAAAAATATTAGTTTCATAAGGCAGGGTTTTTATTCTGAGATTTAATTGTGTTGTGAATGAATATTTATGAAATATTAAATATTTAAAAATAAAGCCCTTTGCATTTACCCTTGTCAGTGTGGGGTGGAGACATCTGAAAATTGCACTTGGTTGAATGGTTCCACAAGAGGCATGTGAAGTTTTGAATGTCTTATTCTTTAAATAAGTTCTTAGATTCCTGAAATAAATGTACCTATTCTTTATGCAAATAAAATGTATTTAATTAAATCATAATAGGTTTATGCACATTTTCTTATAATTTATATGTCAGAATGATATTGCAGATATGTTAGATTTTTTTTTTAATAGAAAAAGCCTCATCCTGTGTAATGGAGATTAATCAGACCTTTATTTAAAGCATGAAAAAACATGCCACTAAAATTTTCTTTCACTTGAAACTTGAATTTTAAATCACTTTAGCCAGCAGAATTAAATTGAACTGGATAATTCTTTCAATAAATTCAAAGCAGTGTGTCCTTTCAATCAGATTGCTTACAATGTTGTTATTCTGAATTGCTTTAACCTGGCTCTTTTGGATATTAAGTACAACATACATCATGTACATTTTATACAGCTGAAATTCCTGTCCCTGATGATAGCATACTTAAGGTTCACTACATGTTGTTATAATTGTGTCAAGGAACATTTGGCACTGTTTAAAAGCTTATCTTGCATCCCAGAATCCAGCTTGCATCATGACTTAGAACAGACCTATGTTGTTA